TAAAGGCTGATAAACATTTTTAGGCTCCTCATGCCTCAGGGGTATAAATGCGCTCGTCAATGTCAAAATGATCGAGACGGCCAATCAAATCGAAGAAGGCGGGTCTTACTGTTCAGCGACCGACAGTAATAGCCAGTGGCGATCTTAACATAGAGGCATAGGTAGGCGGCTGCTTGGGGCCCCCTACCAGCAGTCGTAGTAGGGGGGCCCCAATCAACCTCAAAAAAAAAATAGAAAAGAAAAGAAAAAGCCCCTTATCATCATGAACGCTTCAAAAGCATAGTAAATGTTATTAATATTCTTAAGAAATACGTTGAAATGTTGAAGTAGTAGTTAAAATGTCCAGTTCATGGTTATCTGTCCCTACACATAACACCCCCTACTTTCACAATAAAATGGACTAGTCCGTAACGGTGCGCGGCGCGAAACCGCGAAAGATAAACATGACAGGAGGACTGGGAAGTACACAATGAAGCAAGACGAGTCTAAACGCGAAAATGAAACGAAGCGGCTCAAAAATGACAAACTTTTTTACGCCTACTGTTGGGGACACGTGCCGCTACAGCAGCAGCTGTGAAGTGACGCTAGTTGAGGATAACGTCTATACATCCTGTTAGACAGAAAGGGCAAAAGTAAATATGACATTTATTATGGGTTTATCTGATGATTGTTTTAAGTTCACGTAAATTAAAAGTTGTTATATATTTTTTGAAGCCTAACAAAATGTAAATTTTTTGGCTTTCAATTACACTGTAATGTTGGATGGCTGGCTTAATGTTTAAAATTAGGGGGAAAAATCATTTTTATCCAGCAGACATCAATAGCTATTAGTATCAGTGACACCGACCTTCATTCATAAAAAGATGCCATTAAACAAGTAATTTAAAATATAGGCCTACTGTCTTTATGTTGTCTCTACATTCATTTGTAGATTAACTGTGAAATTATTACATTATAAAATATATAAACTAATACAAACCTATAAAAAAGTTTGTTTGCAGAATGTTTGAAATGTCAATCTCATGTGCAATGCCAATTGCAACCTCACTCACTCATACAAAGTCAATTATTCATCTTGGCAATATTTGCTAAGTATATGGCTGTTTGTGGGGGTTTACCCTAACTACTTGTCTTGCTGGTTATATTGATATTGATTTGATCTTAAAATTTTGGCAAAGACAGGTGTTATCTGAAACCTTATTCTCTGTTGGGGAAGGTTTTTTTTCTCCTCTCCAACCTTTACTTCCCCGTAGATTAGCTTTTCCTACCATTCAGTCGGTAATTTTTTTTTTCCGTTCTCATAAAGATGGGATGGGGGGCCCCCCATACGTACCTTCACTTTGGGCCCCCAATTTGCTAAATCTGTCACTGGTAATAGCCTATGATGCAAACCACCTTTTATGAATTTTCACAGTTTTGAATTGAAAATATGCTATCGTGATTCATATAATTCATAACTCAATGTGACGAGACAAACAAATGTTTGCATTTTCGGCATATTAGACGAATAAACGATATAACATAGGAATTAATAAGAGTGAATGTGTGTACATTTTAAAATAAAATATTATTTGAAAATAGTTTAAATTGATTACTTCATTAGACTTAGAACACCATCTACCATTCCCCCCAACCAAATAAGCCTAAGTTACTGTTATACATCTACTGACAAACAAATGTATTACATGCCATTTCCCATAATGGGTGCTATAGAGACAAACTTGTTGCAGAGAGAAAACTAAAAAGACTGGATTTAAACTTCACCACTCTTTAGGTGCATGGGTTCCTTAATTTTGCCGAAAGCTATTGTGTAATAGCAGAAGTTCTGGACGTCTTATGTGCGCAGAAAAGTTAGGCAACAGAGAACATGCCTGGCACCAAACCAGCAACAGGATGTGCAATAGTGAGATCACTAGTGTGTAAGAGAGAGTGACATCAGTGTTAAGGCCGGACTCAAAACCTTGCACAAAAAAAAAACTGTTTTCAACATAGCTTGACCATGAAAATATGAATCTTTTCCATCACAGGAATAAATAATATTTTAAAATATAATAGAACATAGTGGTAGTAACACTTTACAATAAGGTTTCATCTGTTAACATTTGTTAACATTAATGTGTTAACTAACATGAACTAACCATAAGCAATACATTTGTTACTGTGTTTGCTAATATTTGTTAATGTTAGATAATATACAGCTGCTCATTGTTTGTTCATGTTACTTCACACAGTGCAGTTAATGTTAACAATACAACTTTTGATTTTAATAATGTATTAGTAAATGAAATTAACAAAGACTAATAAATGCTGTAAAAGTGCAGTTCATTATTAGTTCCTGCTCACTAATGTAGTAAACTAATGTTAACTAATGAAATCTTATTGTAAATTGTTACCAAAATTGTTAATGTAAACAGTAATAATAATTCACAATATTTCTGTTTTTACTGAGTATAAGAGACTTCTTTCAACAACATTAAATAAAAAAATCGAACCAAACTCGTAGTGTATACATATAGTGTATTCATTACAGAAATTATGACCGGCTTTCCCTGGTCTAGAAATTATACATATACGTCATATACAGTATCCAGGTTTTCCAAGACTGTGGGAACCCTGGTTCTTAAAAATTACAGTTGTTAAGCTGTTTTAGCTTATTTTAAACAAACACCCTTGAACCATCTTGCACTAGTAGACAAAGGGTGCGTCTCAATCAGCTCCCTAGTTCCCTAGATCATGAATCAGTATATTGCGTACACGAATTCGGACACTGGTAAGGACCCTGACTCACTACAATTGGGACAATGATGGCACTATTTCCGGAGACATGGTAACTAGGGCTGAACATTTAATTGCATTTGCGATAATAATATCGCAAAATGATGAAACAAGATTTTTTTAACCGCAAAGGCTGCGATTACACTCTGGTTACGTGACACGAGAGAGTAAAGCAGTTTTTTCGAGGAAGCATTAACTTGGCACATATAGGCCTGGCCTACAGGAAAGAACAGCTTATGTTTAATCTATCTAATATTGTGTTGGTCATACTATAATGATTTATTGTTTGTCTTTGTTGAATAATACAGACGATAAAGAGCTTAATAAAATAATTGCATATTAAATCACAATATTGGTTTAAAAGAAATAGGCCTATATATTGCAATTAGCTTATTTTCCAAAATCATTCAGCCCTAATGGCAACATCCTCAATGTACAACATCACTACTGGTATTTATGAACAACAGCAGCACAGATATCTTTCTGATTAAGACGCACCCAAAATGTGGGGTGTTTTTAACTTCACGAGCCACACCCGCTCCACTCATGGAGGCTTCCTAGCCGTTCCCTGGGAATAAGAGGATATAAACTAACTAATCATAAACAAGTATTACAACACACCCATATGCCTCAGAATTTCAGGCAGCCTGGGACACAAAAATAAAAGTTTGTGGTAATACCCCTACCACACTACTTTCAGCACACTGTTCAACTACTACACACTGGCTATAAGAATGTCTACATCTGACTCCCAAAGGTTTACATTCCACAAAGTAAATGGGGCTCATAAAGGGATGGATTCCTGCAGCTCCCAAAAAAAATGCTGTCATTATGAAGCTGGTACAGGTTCATTTGACTGGACACAAACAAGTTACAATGCGTATGCGGATTACAGACATAGACACTTAGTCACCTCGCTTGATCTGGAACCCTACTGTGACAATAAGCTCTGTCCAAGACATTACAAGATGACTAAATGATCTTCAGACTGCTTTGTGAAGTCTACAGTCAAGGCCAACTTTTTTGAACTTTTGGGAAGGCAGTAAGTAAGTAATTAATACATTCATGAGGAGGCAACTTGAAATAGACTGTCCTACATTCAGTAGGCAGCATGCATATTTAGAATTAGAAGTCAAAGCAAATGAATCCCAGGTCATTAAAAGAGCTATATGAAATAGAAGAAGGCTGTGGAAGAGCGATGAAGTAATAAGTTCTACTTCCACACAGGTATGACATACGGTAATACTAAAATACTTGGCTCTGTGTCAAACAGTTACCTAAATACCTAAGTTAACACGCTTTACTAACCAACAACACACTGTTCCGTTACTACTGACACCTTTAGTTAGCTGTTAGTTTTCTTAAAATAACATGATGGCAATGATAAGCTTGATGCTAGACAAGTAACAGTACACAACATACAAATAACTTCATTATGTATCACATGACCTTTCTTTACCCTGAGGTCAGTAAGACAGCAAACTTTATCCACGTTATAAAACTTTCAAAAAGGCAGTCAGCATGAACTGAAACAAACAATTCCAGTTTCACTACTAAGGCTTCATGATATATGTAGCTAGCTAGCTATCCATGAAAGTTCACAGGTATCACAAACACTACTTCAGTTCAGACCCCACTGACACTCACAGAGTGTTTTGACAGCACATTATCACGAGTCCTGTGAAGTAATACACTGATAGGTTCAACAGCTGACTGAGACCAGAGAGTGCTGACTGAGCCTGTAAAATCTTTGCAGTGAAAACATGCTACAAGTTTGAGAGAAACTTTGATGATATATTTAACAAAAATGATCAAATCCTTCACTGCTACAGCTGTCTGGATGCATACTAGAAGTAGAAAACCCAAATAAGGTTTGAAAAAAACTTTAACTGGGTCATTGCACAAAAAGGGTTCATTTTGTGTCCATCATGAACATGTTTAAACAATAGCTTTAACAATAACAAGCTGACTCCAACTTATATGGAGTTGTTATAGGCAATTCTAATAACATCAGTAAAAATACAGAAGCTTTATTTTTATTTACGTGTACCTTCTTGTCCATTTTAGTACGAGAAAACCTGATAAAAAAAAAAACTGAAAAAAACCTGATGGTGGCACCGATGTTGTGGAATGACCCTTCGAAAGACAAAATCTCATACACTTTGTGTGACATACCTAAGAAATAACAACAACAAACAACTGAGTTCAGAAGCTATAATACATACCAGTTTTTTGTTTTTGCTCTCATCCTCACTGGATTTCTTTTTGGAGGGTTTATTGGGGTCTTCCCCTCCAGCTGCCTGCTGATCCATCTTTGGAATGAAACTTCACTTGAACAGTAACTTAGCTTAGTTTGTCCCACAAGTTTGCAAACACTTATGAAAAATCACGTTTCTTCAAAAGCCATGCCATCCATGAGGAAAAACACAAAAATATGAGTTGGATCCAGAACTATTCCAAGCACCTATCCACTGGATTATGATAACATCTGTGTATGAAGTTGTCCCAAAAAGAAGGTGAGATGATATCCAGTCCAAATCAGCTCCTCAGAGTCTGTCAACAACCAATTAACATGTTATAAATTACATTTCGGAGGTGTTTTATACTATAAAATGCATAAAAGCACATGGAATAACTGCAATAAGAAATAGTACAGAGCTGTATAAACAGCTTCTGAACTTTTGTCGACTTTAATACATCAATGTAACATTAAAACAGCCATCTGACGAGACACTATTGCCATTTTAACAACGGGTTTAATACATTAACGTAATTTCACATTCAAGGAATTATATATAGTATGTCTATTACAATATAAATACATTTCAGCGTCTCGTAAAAAAAATTAAAGGAGGTCTGGGAGTTTTATGCAATATGACATGATATTTTATAAAATGAACACAACTGATTTTATTCAAAGGAGAAATGACCGCTGCTATCCAGGCGGTTACTTTCACACAGGAAACTGTTATTCCAGCGCTATGAGGCTTAAAGTAAAAGTGTACAATAAAGACATAGACTCTAAACGCCAAGTCTGCTTATATTAACATAGCGAATTAGTATTAAACAGCAAAATAGTCACACAATGATAAATAAAACTCACAAAATCTCATCCAAGGCTTACCTACACAACCAAACGCACGAGCCAGGCCCACTATTGTCCCCGCCTATCGACGCTTCCCAACTGCTCACAAATGATCACGTGGTAGAAAGATTCCAGCTCTGATTGGGCAATTGACCTGTACATCTGGACCTTCTCTACTACAACTGACTGCCATTGTATATGGATTGGCTTCAGTCAGTGGATGATTAATATTGTTTGCATAGCAGTGCAAATCAGTGTATTTGTGAAAAGCAATTATTCTTATGAAAAAACGTTTGCATTTAATCTCATTTAGTCTCTATACAACTGTGTAATGCATTTAATTAATGCATGATAATGATGATATCATATGATGTTTAATCTTTTCCTCATGTACTTTTTTTTTTTTTTTTGCAAAATACATGTAAAATGTATGATGTCTGTGAAATATTCCCTAATTTTCTCAAAAAACTATTAATTCAACTGAAACAGGAAGTGACACTGAAGATATTCCCTAAGAGGATAGTTCACTCAAAAATGAAAATTTTGTCCAAGTTGTTCCAAATCTGCATTTTTTTTTCTTTCTTCTGCTGAACAAAAAATAAGCTATTTTGAAGAATGTTGGTAACCAGACAGTTGACGGTAGCCATTGACTTGCAAAGTAGGAAAATAAATATCATGGAAGTCATGGTCAACTGTTTGGCAACCCACATTCTTCAAAATATCTTCTTTTGTGTTCAACAGAAGAAATAAACTCATACAGGTTTGGAACAACTTGACGGTGAGTAAATTATGACAGAATTTTCATTTTTGGGTGAACTACCACTTTAAAAATGCTGTTCCACTACTGTATGTATGTTGCACACCCAACAGCCCAACAACAAAATAACCCCACACAGAAACCATACCCACCATCTCAGTACATGAGAACTGTAATAGACCAATCACAGAAGTGCATCTTGTGTAATTCCAAGTGCTTATCAACTTCAATGTTGTCCGACAACAGATTTTTTCTTATTACGTACGGGTAATGTGAGACACCCCCTGTATCTAGTCAACGGAACACATTTGTGGTCATGTGACCATTATGTTTTCAAGCCCATCCCATTTCCCCTTGGCCATGAAGGAGAGGACCTCATGATGCTGTGATAAGCATGTTTTTTTCACAAAAATATTTGTTTTGCATGTAAAAGTAAATTTTCTTGCTGTCAACTTAATCAACTGTTGTGCCAAAGCAAATTGATTCAGGTAGAAAAACTTATATCATACATGTTGATGAACTATTAACATATAAAACCATGTGATGATGCAGCTGAAAAGTATCCTGAATTACTAAGAGAGATCGTTTTTTTCTAAAATGTGGCAGTGGGGTAAAGTGAGACAAATGCTGTGGGGTAAAGTGAGACATGAGGCACAAGTTAAGTTTAGTCTTAAACATATTTTAATGTAATATAACATTACATATGTTTTATTTTTTAATGTCATAAACATTGTAGAAAAGCCATCATGCCAAGGTAATACACCAGGAAGACAACCTGGGGCAAAACACCCCTCGAGGAGATGGAGAGTGCAGCCGCTGAGGTCAAGGAAGGAAAGAAGTCTATAAGGGCAGCTGCAAGGGATAGAAATATTGACAAGCCTGACAAGATATTGAGGAGGAGGAGCCCTGTTTTAAAAATGTGGAATATTGAAGCCAAAATTTTTAAAACGCAGTGCAGCTGCACAGCAGACACAGATGAACGACTAGTGCGGTCATTGGATGTGCTGCGGCAACTGCACGAACCTATGGCGAGGCGGCTCAGACGCAAGAACCAATAAGGCTGCTTCGCGCCCTGGCATGTCGGAGCCCTCCAGAATGGGTGTGGCCTAAGCCTTTACATTGGCCAGTTCAGCCAAAGGTAGTCAACTGAAGCAAAATCCCCTGATCAAAGCCACATGAACGTGGAGGGTGTACGACCCGCGTCCAAACGCCCTTGTAAGAAGGCGAGTATACTCAATACTTCGGACAAATAGGGGTCCAGGCTCCTTGCAGGGCACCAGCCAGAAAATACCACCCATTTCCAGGGCAAACATAAAAGTCACAGTCAATATGTGTGTCAAAATCACTTTAGATCTCATCTGAAAAGTAGCTGAATAACACTAAAAGGGAATGAAATACAAATAGCTCGAAGTACTTAATGTTTATTTGGTCACAAAAAGAGTGTATGAAGCAACGAGAATTTGGGAGGTCTAGCGCAACAGCAGGGAGCATAAGCTTCACACATTGTGTGCCCGCCCCATCACAGCTCACAGTATGGGAAGAACTTTGAAGGGTGTGCTTTTATTTCAGCCACTCACTTTATCTTTGATCTCCCAGACGGGAAACGCCACATTAACTGCCTTTCAAATACTCTGGGCCCATTAGGTATATTATGGACAATAAATGATAAGGTCAGAACCATTAGTAAAAGAGTATCTAATGAGAAATACATTCAAATACATTATAAATGTTCTTGTTCAGCTAATGATATAGTTACATATCAGTGATTAGACATTATATATTTTGTTTTATCTATTCATTTGTTTGAATAATAATTTCATTTGTTGCTTGTTGGTTTTAATTTTTCTTTCAGTTTTAACTGTTATCTTTGTCAATTTTTTTCTCTCTCAGTATTTCATATAGTGCGGTTGCAGGGTGTAACCACAGTAGACATAAACTTGACAGTCTGGTTATCACCTGCGGCACCTGCCAACACAATGCTACTTCCTGTGTGCTTCGTCAGCGGAACTTCTTCAGTTGTTCAGTTGTCAACATCAATGATTATGCTTTAAAAAAAAAAAAAAAAAAAAAATCTTGCAGAAAAAAAGAGAGGATTTCTTCATTATTTACTGTATGAAACGATGTAATCAAGTTGTGTTAAAGATATACTGTAGTGTCAAGAGATATATTCTGCTCTATTTGTTCACATGAGTGGTTTATAAATGCAGCATCCTCATGCCAGGTCTATAATTAGATACCACAGCCACTTTTCCATTATGGACAGTGATTTCCCATGGTTCGCTCCTGCCATTTAACTCAGTTCTGCCCATTTGAGACTGTCGCTTTCAGTGTTTATTCCTGTTCACTAGGCCTGTCGAGTTATTCCTAGTGTCACAGGGCAAGACAATGAATTTCTATTTACAAAAGATGAACAGTAAGCCTGACTCGTGACTTATAATCATCTACTCTGATTACTGAAAAGTGGAGATAACCTTCTGTGTGATGGAATTTTGTTGCTCTGGACTAGTTCCTCACATTATTTCAGCCTTGAAAGTACTAGAACACAAAACATTTTGGCATTTCTAAAAATATCCTAACTTCTTAGTCAAAATGAGAAAATTCATTTACACAAATGAACTATCAACATCGCAAATCTAGTAAAGTTTTAAATTTCTTAAGATGGTGTACTTACACGGCTGAGGGAGTGATGGCAAATTTGACATATTTCTCTCTTCTGACTGCTGTAAACAATCTCTCTATATTTTTCCCTCTTTTGGAAAGTCATGGAAATGCCAACACATTCTCATCCTTTGGCGCCATATGACATTTCGTCGAAATCTTACGCACATGGCATCCTTTAGCGTAAATATAACACGCACTGTTATGGGTAGGTTTAGGTCTGGGGTAGGGTTACGGTTAATATGACGCCTTGGGAACGGGATCTGCATCTCATATTGACGCTAAAGGATGCCATGTGCGTCGGATTTAGACGAAATGTCAAAAGCGTCACATGTATGACACCTTGGGTTCTGCGTCTCATATTGACGCTAAAGGATGCCATGTGCGTAAGATTTCAACAAAATGTCAAAAGCGTCACATGTATGACGCCTTGGGATGAGAACGGGCTGGAAATGCTATAACAGATTTATTTTTCTTGTGCTAAGAGCAAATGCAAATACAAAAAAAAAGTATTTGCTGTCATCTCCCGTTCACCATTATAGAAGTTTACCCAACTATGACGACTTCTGCTTCCGAGAACCCATGAAATGTGAAAAGGGTCCATTGTTTGATCAGTCCAGAAATATATTAGCATACAACTTACAGAGTGCTAGAAACTTCCAGTCGTCCACTGGCGTCCATCATTAGAAGCTGCACCTCTGTTAGGGTTATAGACATGTTCAGCTGCATCAGGCTTAGCGTTTAGACCTGGGAGATAAAAAGAAATATGTGCTACATTATTTATTGCCTTTCCATCACACTTCATAAAAGACCCACTGACTCAAATGTCCGGCACTCTGGGAGAACCTGAACCTCTTGCAACATTTGCAGTGAGCAGACATTGCAAACTTTTTAGTGTTTCACCTTTCCGAGGAGATGCCTCAGAAATACTTAACCCTTCACTCCGGGGCAAACGGCTCCATTTGTCATTACTTATTCAGCACTGAGAAGAGCCCACTTTCTGAGCCCGGAGAGACTGGAGGTATCTCAATACACTGAGTTCAGAGAAGTTAGGTGCTCTTTCATAAATGACTCGTCACTTCAGTTGTTGAAAGTACTATCCATAACTGCTGAAACAACACCTCCTGAGCCTTAGGAATTAGCTTTGTGTTCGAAAAAAGAGGTGTGGATTTGACAAAGGTTTGGGAGTGTTACTATTTGGGCATTTGTTCATTAAGCGCCATAAATGTGGTCAGCTGTTTACCATGTTAATCACCAATGTGTTCATACTGGGTAAGATAGGACAAGAACTACTCATACTTGTAGTGAACTTTCTATTCATCAAAGAATCCTGAAAAAACATTAAGCAGCAGAACTGTTTTCAACAAGAAATGTTTCTTGAACACCAAATCAGCATATTGATTTCTAAACGATCATGTGACTTTGAAGACTGCAATAATGGCTGTTGAAAATTCAACTTTGCCATTACAGGAATAAATTAGATTTTTTAAAATATATTAAAATATAAAACAGTTACTATATTGTACAAATATTTACAATTACAAATACTGTACTTTTAATCAAATAAATGCAGCCTTGGTGAGCATTGTCATGTGTTTGTTTTGTTTTGTTCAGTTTTCCTGGTCTGTTGTCTCTTGCTTCTATAGTCCAGTGTCGGCTCCAGCCCCTGGGTCCGCTCCAGTGTCG